CTTCTCAAAAAGGCGCCAAAATAGGTGGAGCCCTTTAAGGTCTGCATATAGCTAATGTAAATATTGAGCATCACTTGAGTAGGAGAACAAAAAGCGAGGCTGGGGTGGTGCCTAGATATCAAGCTGCCCCCAACCTCCTCTTGCCCAGCAGCTTCCAGTCGATGGAGGTGGATTCCTTGCTGGCACATCCATCCCAGCACTCCCAGAGAGATGGAAATGGAGACCTTGGGAGCTCAGAGAAAAAGGGTGAGGGCCAGGGGGCAGATAATCACCTCCTGGCGAGGGCAGAGGGATGGTGGGTGGCAGCTAGCCTCATTTGGAAAAGGCCAATAACATCTGAGGAAGTCAATGGCAGCAAGCAAGTCTGCAAACCAGAAGGCACACAGACAAAAATAGTACGTGGAGAGAGCAAAATGTGAGGTGTGTCCAAAAACAAGCCAAGTATCTGGTCGGAGATCTACGTACCAGTGCAAAAGGCCCAGGCGAAACACGGCGCAGACTCCCCAAGCTGGCATCACCACATCTCCGACATTCCTCCATAAGCAGTCCTGCCCCTGCCCCACCGGGCTACTGCTGTGTTGCACCACTCCAAATCAATGTTTTAAGAGTGTGCTTAAATAGTATCAATAGCAATTAGAGGGGAAAATCCTGATCTCATCCCCAGACCCAGTTAATTGTCGCAACATTGATTTACTCTAATTTGACTTCTCACTCCAAATTAAACCCACATTACTGAAGGAGGGACCGCAGGCAAACTCTCCCTGCTCACCCTCTCCCTTCCAAGACAATAAATTTAATATTGAATACACTTGGAAAAAAAACCTGGCAGTTGTTGCAGGATCCATACTGAAAGATCTTTTTCCTTTTCTCTCCCGTTTTTTTTTTCTTCCTGCGAGTAATTAAAAGATGCTTTTCTTGACTAATGATCCCCCTGTTTAGAAATGGGAAGTCGATACTCCTTCACCAGCAGTCAGCTTCAATTTGTCACAGGGCTCCCGAAGTTTGAGCGGCGGTTCTCAGGGCTGCTGGTAATTGCTGGAACCAATTACCAGCCTTCCAAAGCTGACCTAATCAGGGACCCACGGACACCACCGCTCACAGGCCAGCTGGTCCCCTTTCCCTTTCCCATTCACGTATTCGCCCGCGCTTGGGTTTTCTGCCGCTTTGACGATTTTTCGTGCTCGCCGGGAGCTTGTGTTTATTCCTCTCTCCTCCCTGTAATCACGCCAACACCCTCAGTCTGAACTTTGCCTCGTGTGACTGCTTTACCCTACGCTGCTTCCTTGGGGATCCCATTGAACCGGTGCTCCCATTACCTGCGCTGCCTGCCGGTTTAACGCCAGAGGCCATCCAAGGTGTCGCCTTTGATCCACAGGCACCGAATGACCTGAGGATCTGCTTATTTTAGAAGCAGCCTCTAGACTTGATGAGACATGGCACGTGTTAGCATCAGAGGACATACCTGGGCAATATATCCTTGACCAAAGTAACAGAGTAATGCCTTTTGCTACGTAACTCCCAGGTTTTGAGTTCACACCCTCCCATCTCAGAGCCTTTCTCACCCTCAAAATACGTTTTCAGGTTTATCTTTCCCCATGACTTCCTTGGAGAAAGAGTTTTTAAGAGAACCCGAGAGGACTAGGGAAGGACAGCAGTATGCTATGCTTGATGTGGTGCAAGTTCGGTATTGGTTCCAATATTTAATATACAAAATCAAAAATGCAAGCTGTACTCACAGCCTGGAAAAGCTCTATTCTTATAAATATTGGTGACATTTTCCTGAGTAAGACTCCTTAATTATGCCGTGGCCTACAGCAGCCATTTGGCAATCCCTCCTGCAAAACATGGGTCTCCCTGGGTCTCCCCACTCAACAGAAACCCCAGCTGAAGGGACTGCTTTTGAAGCCATGTCAAGACTTCCGAGACCCTTTCAGTCCGGCACGTGAACGCTCCTCGAGCCTCCCAGCCCACCAGACTTGGTATGTGCAGAGCCAGTCAATGATCCTTTTTTTTTTCCCTAGAAAGCCTGCGGGTTTCCACTGAGGGCTTCATCTCTAAGAGAAAGCCACACCATGAAACGGTGAAACCCACGTGATGTCTGATCCCCTCTACAAATGTCTATTAACTGAGGGTCCATCATGGTGTTGACAACTTCTTGTGCTTGGGGAGGGGCCACAGTGGAGACAGAAGATTTATGAGATGGGTCTATCAAAGAAACAGGCGAGAAGGTTGTATTTGTCTAAGGTCTTGTACTGACGCTTTGTGCTAAGCCTGCGAGTCAGTTCGGGGAACCTGTGTTTCCAATGCTTTGCTCGCAGGTCTCAGCCAAGGGGGGTGGATTAGAGAGTGCAGGTAGCGGAACTGAAAACAGGAGCGCTACGCAGGACAGATGTAGTGAGTGGGGCTGCAGAAGGGAACAGGGAGAAGAACAAGTTCAGGAAACCTGGAGGAAAACATGGGAGTACTTCCCTCTCAGGTTTTGGTGAGAACTCATTAAAGCAGGAGCATGTTGAGTGCGTGAACCTCTGCATATAGCGGCTCTCAGCCTCCAGCTGATCCCAGAGCCCACCAGCATGGGCTGAAACAGCCCCTCAACACCAGCTATCAGCTCTCTTCCCATTCAGAAGTTGTTTTGCTGAATGACTCTTTCCTCCCTCATCTCCAAATATCCTTGGATTCCCTGCATCCCTCCTCCACCAGAACTCCAAACCTCAGCTCCCTCATCACCCTTCTACTTGCTTCCTTTCTTGCCTCTTCCTCCTTCCATCCCTCAACAATATAAAACTGTGGTTTGTTTGACCCCACTTCATATCCACTGTAGCTTCTTCTGAGAGGATTCCTCAGGCAAAACTGGGAACCGCAGCGAGAAGACGGAATGCATACCTTCTATCTAACAAACTTCAACTTACTTTCTTGCCACTTCTTGGATGGAAGGATTATGATGCTAGTAGAGACCAAAGCAAAGTATGAAAGCAGGCACACACTTTCAAAAAGCAGCCCTTTCAGGTATTTATGTCCAAAGTATCACTTCAGTTCCTGCTTCAAACAGTGGAAAAAACGGGAGCAGCAAAGCGAGGTTACAATTGCTATGTGGGATCATTTTCAGATAAAGTTAATTGTATTTTTTCTAACAGCTCTTCCCTCACATAAGTGTGCACTTGGGCACACTGATAGAAATGCATATTTATAAAATGGATCTTTACACCTTTTGTTCAAAAACGTTAAGAGTCCAGGAAAAAAAAAAAGTGCAATTATGCCACTGACAAACATTAACAGCTGAATGTAAGCATGAAGATGTACAGAAACAAGGAAGAACTAAAATAAGCTCCAAGGATGAAATACAAAGAGAAATAACTTGATTTTCTGTAAGTAAAATTCACTTTCAAACATAAAAACCTGGATAATATAATTCAAATGGATGGGGCTGTTTTCATCACAGTCCTGTGTATTTTAGATTTTTCATGATAATATCTTTATTATATGTATACTAAAATAGTATTGAAAAAAAATACCCAATTGAGCCTTTTCCTTTTAAAAGTCTTTAGAACCGAGGTACATCTCCAGCTCACCTCAGTAGTAAGGAGCAACACGTATTTGCTAGTTGCAGCAATGCAAGATCCCTGGATTAAAGTAATACTAATGACTGAAAGGCAGCAATAAGTTGATTTCAACCTACCCGATAAAATCATTGTATTAGCTGTCTAATAATACACACGTATGCAGCAGACATAGAGCTTATGTATGAACAAAATCTCGGTGTAGGTCTCCCTGAACGTTTTTATACGCATAGTCATTCATCTAAGTAGCCTGATTAATGTACTGGCTTCATTCTCGAAGATGAACCAAAGGTGGCACCACAAATTCATTTTTCAGTGCTAACGAAATAATGCAGTAAGAAACAGTTGACTTTATTACAGGCAACAGCACAAACCTACCCCTACACCATAGGAGGTGGCCCAGGTACACGCTCGCAGGTTATGATTTCACTGGGTCCGGTACTGGAAAAAGCGGGATCCAGAAATACACACAAATGAAATCTAATTCTCTCTGATTTCTCTCATGTGCAGGAGGCAAACACTGAGAACTACAACTCCACTGTGCCGTTTGCTACCTGGGGACTCACCAGTGCTGGGATGCAAGCTGCCCTCTTGGAGCTCGCCCTAAGACAATTATAACGCCCTTCTGAAGAGAACTTCAAAGGTTGGGCCAGCTGGGCAAGGTGGTCCCAAAGGCCTTTCTCCTGCCTGAAAGCCCCTGCTGAAACTCTGTCTGCCATAGGTCGCTCTGCCTCCCCCAAGCCAATACCACAGTTACAACTATTAGCACTTACATTTTGTATTTTCAGAACGTTTGCCTCCTTTGACACTGATCAGATCAATGAAGCACAAAAAACCCTTCAGATTTGGTGGAACATCGCATCGCAGAAAGGTTTTCACTGTGCTGAGCTAGGACTGGTAGGTAAAACACTGTTCTCATAGGAAACATACTCCCCCATCAACTTATGCCTTCACATATATTACATTAAAAAACAATAAGCAAGTCCACAGCAAGAAGAACTTCCAACATCCATGATGACAACCCAAAGACCTGACGGCCAGGTACAAATTCCTGGGTGAGCCTGAACTACCGAAGGCAGATTGTTAATCATAAACTGCTTTGTCGGTTAGCCAACTGAACAAAAAAAATCTGTAGAGCTGCTGAGGAAACCTTCATAACAGTGAAAAAGTAACAGGGTCACTCAACTTTTGACACCCCCTGCTGCCTCAGACACATGTTCTTCCTGGGCACACAGTGAAGATATATGTGTATGTAATGATTTTTACAAGGCTGACTCCAAGGGAGAATTTTAAAAGTCCATGTTGTAAAACATCGTAACGCCCTACCACCTCTGACTGCAATGCCAAAATGAGGATTTATGTGGTCACAGCTTACAGCCTCGGCTGGTATCACACAGTACCTGCCCGCTGCACGCCACAGTGCGACGCAGCAGGAAATCCTACCTTGTGGAGTCTGACGAGGGTTTCATATGGCCTTGGCTGTTCTCTTCCCAGACGCTGTTTGCCAGCTCGTTCCCGATATGAGACATCACCTTGATGAGCTCTATAGGCCAGTCATCCAGGTCAAGGGAGCGGACCCGGGAGAGGTGCGTGCCAAGGTTTCGGTGGATACCTGAGCATTCGATACATATGAGGGCTCCCAGATTCAAGCTGGCCCAGTCAGGGTCTATGGGAAAAAGGGACACAAGCAGTTAGTACAACGAAACACCTAAGAAAACGTTCTAGTTAATGTTTGTGGATAAAGATTTTTCGCTCCGTTGGAAAAAAACAAAGCAGGTGTCCTGTCCAAAAGCACAGTTGGAAGGTCTTCCAGAAGGGCCAATTTTGCCCTGTGAAGATATTAATCCTTATGAGAAACCCTCAAGGAGTAAACCACACTTGTGTAGGGGTTCTCAAAAGATGTATCATTCCACCTTCTGTCAAAAGGAAAATGATTTCGGAAGAAAAGAAGAAACAAAACCCCCACAAATACAGTGGCAGTGTGATGATGAAGCAGTGGAGAAAGCCCCTCCTTGGGAATCTAGAGCCACTCGTAGCCAATTAGAAGGAAAAGGGAAGAAGAAAAAAAAAAAGCGCAACCAGATACAATGTCTCTGTTGCTAACTGTACCAACTCCCTTAATAACCATCCGTATCATCACCTACATGTGGCTTTTACATCTCACCCACTATGGGGTATGTTTTCATCTCTAAGATCAGGGAGATAAGTACTAAGATGAAAATGTGATACTTTGAACAGTTCCAGTTTTAGTGTACGAGCCACAAGAATTCCACCCGCCCACAAACAACCCCACAACCGGTAAGGCTGTGACAAACCTGACAGAAACCGGGAAATTCAAAGTCATTTCCCAAGATGGTTCACTTTTGTCACTCTCCTGTGTTACTTAAACCTTGATTTGTACCAATCTCCCTCTCTCCAACAAACACTCATTTTAACAAATGCAATGGAAGATGTATGGGAGGAATTTTTGGTGGCTTTCCCCCCACCCCGCTGCCAGATCTCTTCTTCTCACCTCACCCTGGGCCTCCCAAAGAACAAGTAGGCGATCATGAATGCCAAGCAGGAAAATGGTGGTAAATTGAGAGGGCAGGCAATTTTTATTCAAATCTCAATAAAATTTAGAGCTGATGGAAAATAAATTTCTAGTGTCCTCTTTCACTCAGGGAACTTTTCATTCAAAGACTCACTTTTACTTTATGTAACTCAAAATCAAAATGTTCTCTTTGGCAGCTAAAATATGTGGCAGTGAAACATTTTCTAGTTCTTTGCCATGTGACGTTGGGACAAAAAAAAATATGAAAGTAAAGCAGATAATTGTAATTGCGAAGTCCCACATTTCATTGAAGGTACTGACAGACATTTTTCAGTCAGTCCTTAGAAAACTAAAAATATCCCCGACAAGAAAAATCTCCCATCTTATTCCACTTGAGGAGAAAACCAGATCTTTTCTTTAAAAAGTTCCTGTCCATGCCAATTCTTATACTGGGAACACACAGCATCTCAGACCTCAAAAAAATAAGGTGAGACAAAACTCCTACCATGCTTTCCAAGTCCTTGCTAAGATAACCACGACAAGCTTCTCTCCTGCATATTTCTTCAGGTCACCTCCACCACTTACTTTCCGTGTCTTTCCAGTGGCATAACCAGTAGTGTATCTGACACAGACTAAAAATCTCAAAATACCAATTTGTCGGTAAAAGCCTAAACAGAGCAGATGGTGATTTGAAATTTGCAAACTGTGTCTCAGAATGAAGTTTCTGGCCCTGACCTGCAAAGGCCAGGGTTATCCTCACAAAAATAAAAAGTGTAATGAGCTCAAAGAAGCAAGAACTCAGAATGAAGCAAGAGGAAAAATACTTATTTTTTTCCAATCACTCTAACAGAACTGATGTTAAGGACCTGACCTCTCTCCCAGATACCTCTGTGTACTTGAAATATATCTAGTGTATCTTTTACTGAATGCATTTTTAAATATTCACCTACTTCCAAGTGCTGGTAAGACTGAAGTAGCCCACCAAAGCGATAACCACAAAGTCACACGAAATGTTGTCACAACAGCATTTTAAATTTTCAGTAATCTGACAACACACAGCTGAGTCTGAAGGTGGCAAACTAGGAAAGGAAAGTGTTGAACTCATTACAGACATCCAGTGAAAAACCAGACTTGTTGATCTTGGTGACAACCGGATAATGCCCAGCAAGACAGAGCTCTAATGAGGAAATTGGACAAGCGGCATCGCTCGATGGATTCTGGGAAAAAGCTGACATGATGTCACTTAGGACATCTGTTTCAGTGTATGCACATGAAAAATTGTTCTCAGAAGGAGGCATGCTGGATGACAGAAGTCACCAATAATAAAGGCAAGCTGTTGTAAACTGCATGCTCAGGGATGTCTCTGTTTTCAATTCACTGCTCCTATCTGCATCCTCCTCCTCCCATGTGTAGTTGAGAGCTTTTTAAATCTCATCCTTGAAATTTGTTACCACTGATTTACGCTGAGAATAAGCACACGTGGTTAGTAAGCCGTAACTATTCAAGATGTGTTTTTTTCCTTTTTTTTTTTT